ACTAACAGGGTTTACTAGAATCCCACCACTCCACCACAGAGTCACCGCAGTAGACGTTAGATGAGCGCTGTCGCTCCGCGGCACTTGTTGGTTATATTTTTGGTTGGCTAGAGTTGTGAGGAACACTGTGAAAAACGTTGGCTTGTCTTTATTGTGTAACATTTTTCTTTATGTGGAATGCTAGCAGATAGATTGGTGTACGAATTAAGTGAACAGAATACGTTTTCTTGTATTAATTACTTAGACTATTATGTCCATTATAAATTTATTTTAGTTGGTAAATTTTCAACACATTTGGTTAAATTTCATGCATGGTTTATAGGTGGATTGGGTATCATTTGTGCTAATATAAGACCTTTCTGATAAAGTTAAATTATTTTATCATTGCTTCATTGTTTTTTTGCAGAGTGCAAACAGTTACTGACCAAATATACTCCGTAATTCGTGATATCATCCCAGAAAAGGGAGCCAAATCTTTAAAGATGGCTGATGTCATGGAACGTTGTACTTCAAAGGGTAGGTGTACCTAACATGTGCAAATTTATACAAGCCGCTACTGAATTATACAAATACAGTTCTACTGCACACCCCACATTAAAATCAAAGAAACCACTTGTGTGCATGCATGTGATATAGCCACTATCATATCAAGAATTTATGGGCAGGGAAAAAATCGTGCAAGTTTTTAAGCTGCCTGTACACATAGTAGGTACATGCCTTTTTGATATTGGTACGTGGCTTATATACAATTAAACGTGGTAAAATAAAAACATCAACTCACCCATTCCCTATGTTAACCTGATACCAAAGATATTAAAAGTCGAGTTTTCGCATAGCCGTAAGCAACAGTTTATCATGTTATCTTTGCTTCTTTCACTTATAATTTGTTATAACAATCTGTAACTCGTTATCTGTAAATGTCCCGATAATTATGTTTCAGGTTTCAAGCCAGATCAGGTGAACGAGTGCATTGAAGAGTATGAAGAGCTGAACGTATGGCAAGTGAACACTGCGAGGACCCGCGTGACCTTCATCTAAGTTCGTGACTGCGAATTTGGAAACGCTTCTGTAAAATACTTTCTCGATCCATTCTACATTTCCCGAAGTTCAGTCTCATCTCTTTGGCGGTCGTGAACAGTGCGTGACCCGTGGGTGATGGTGGTCTCTGTATTCTCTAGCTGAAACGTGTGCGGTTGAGTTAATCCTCGAATGTGAGATGGTGTACTCATTTACGTTGCATAACGTGCGACATGCGTATCACTACACACTATGTTTGGCTCTGACCTAAATGTCTTCCGAGTTGTGTATATTATAAACCAATCATCCTTTTTTTTGACATAACGGTGGTTGCAACTTCAAAACTAACAAGACTAATAAGATCAGTGTGTTCTATTTTATTAATGAAGTTGATGATTAATCTCTATCATATATAGATGGGGGAAATACATCTGCACGTAGTTCATTGATCAAATTTGGGCACAGTTTATTTAAAATTGTGTTGCTCTGCCGAACCATTGTGTACAAAATCTTTTACAACACTATTCATGTTCTCGTGTGATGTTGCGATGTCCACTAATTCTATTCATTGTTTGATACATTCCTAATATCATGATTTTACAATGAGTGTTTACTGTTTTGGAAGGATTAATGTGTAATGTTCATCACGATCTAGCTACGTTTTTAAAATAAAAGGGACAGTAGAATGAGATTAGGATTCGATAGATGTGCAAGTATTAGTCACAAGTAAAATTTTATTGAAAAGATTCATTATAGCAACATTTCATGTGAATTGTATGTTTTCATGATTTTCTATAATGTGCGTGTAAGAGTAAGTTCATGAAAATGTCTCAGAAAACGTATAGATAAAATAACCTCAAACGCATTTGTTCAGCTATATTATTGACAGCAAGATATATGTAGCAATGTATGTATCCATACGTCTTGTATTTTTACAATTAAAATGGTTTTTCTTATATTTTGTTTTTATTGTTTCTGTTTAAAAAAATACTTATTAATTATATGATATATTCGTTTTCGATATACAGTTCTGTTGCTATGAGATTATCTATATTTCAAAATAAAAGTAAATTCTATTGTTGTGTGAATTTCTATTTATAAATTATAGAATATTCTCTTATTATAAATTATAGATTTTAGTACCCCAGTAAACAGTAAAACTACAAACGAAGATTGTCTTCAGGCGTGCAAATCCATTTTGAAATGGGGGACACCAGTAGTGAGCATGCGAAGGGGGTGGGGGGCCTCCCAGAAATTTTTTGAAATTAGACCCCCTCATATGCGTTTTCTGCGCGAGCAGGGGGGGTCCGGACTCCCTGGACCCCCCCCGTACACGCCCCTGCACACACACACACACACATGCATTTGGTTTGTGATAAGATTACGAAAAGGGTGTCCACATGCAGTCATAAAATCAAGAAACAAAAAGCAGAAAACAATCATTTGGTGTTGAGGCTGATCAAAAAATAAATTGGTCCGTTATTATTGATGGTCCAGTCATATCATATATGTGTATATATATCATCAATTGCAATGAAAATACATTATTAAACCGATGTCAGTTACTTCAGTGTCTCTTTTGCGTGAATATAGTTGTGTTCCAGCTTAATCCTTGAATCAGTGTCTAATGTGAGTAGATATCTCCTAAACTTTCATAAACATAACTTTCTCTTGATGATTTTGCATAAGAATTATTTAATATAAGAAAAAAAACGTGTTAAAAAAGAAACGTTTACTAAATTTATCAAGACACATTGTTTCTTAAGTTGTGATGCATCATTATTTAGCTCTAGTACTATAGCCCTCCGCCGCCGGCAGGCAACTGTACGCGGGCTATAGTTAAGAGCTAATCATTATTATGCTCTCAAATGCACTTGAATAAAATGAAAGCTGGCAAAAAAGGAAAAAAAAAAGGGAAGAAGCCAATCGTTGACGCACTATCATACACAATAAAAATGGTTCTCACTGGCACAACACACACACACACACACACACACACACACACACACACACACACACACACACACACACACACACACACACACACACTTACACACAAAATTATGGGGATCCAAAATTCGTGGGGGACATGTCCCCCTGTCCCCCCTGGATTTGCGCCCCTGATTGTCTTCATACATCGTATTTTTGCATGAAAGAGACTACTGAGTAGCAAATAATACGCAATATGTATAGAATTTAATTTTTGCAAGTAATAGCTAAATTCAAATGCCTTTTATCATAGAATTATAAATATATATAAGAGACTGCCTATATTATTTCTATGGTTTTTATCACGAACCAAGAGCACAGACACCTGCCGTGAATAGGCGGCGCTGTAATCGCATTACCAGGGAAAGGCAGACGAACTGCATCAGATAGAAGCGGAGAGATGCTACGAAAATGACAAAGTGAACATTTACCGCTGTGAAGGGCTAACGCAGCTTATATTATCTTTATTTACCGTGGTTTCCTAACGTCAATAGACCATTTGGATAGTTTGTGATATTTGTGAGGCGACAATATGGCCACTAGATGTGTACTTTCGATATTTCTTATCATATTATCCATAGCCTGTTGCTGTTCGGCATCAGCTGAGAATGTCACATCTTGCCAAGATGTTGCACAAGTATTTGCAGCAAGACAGTTGGGGTCTGAAGATATGGTGCCTAAACAAAAAGTAACAGGTAAACTATCGATTGCTTGTATAGTATATTATCGACAGTAGATAGTGCATATTATAAATCTTGCTTGATCGCTTTATTTGGCTCACTACTCGTCATTCATAATTTTCATTTGACATTTATTAAAATGGTTTATTTTAATCAAGTAGGCAATTAAACATCCGCTATAACTATAGTATAAGTGTAAGTCTACTAAATATGCGTCGTTATGTAACTTCCATAATTCTGAATTAAACAGAAACACTTCAACCTATCCACAATTCGTAACAGTGCTAACAAAACACTAAGCATATTGATTAGCATGAGTATCACTACTCACTAGTACTAGTAGTAGTAGTACTACAGACACTGGTGATACTGCTTGAGCTTATTTATGAAATTCTGTTCCTACGTAACGACAAGAACGATCAAGCCCCCACATACATTTAACATTTACGTTTAGGTGAAGACTTGCAGATTTGCTCAAAAGGAGAGACGTGCTGTACGCATAAGATGGAAGGGCGATTTCATCATGCTGTCAACACTGACATTCAGACAACACTGACGTCTCAGAGTGCTTACGTAAAGCACCTCATGGTGACAAGTGTTGAACAGTACGAAGGTACGTCTGGATTGCATGGCATGCATCGAGGAACATATAGCGTTTTTTTTGCACGCCTGTCATCCATGTATTTACGAGCGCCGGCGGATCTGTGTATGCGCCCATGTGATGTTTCGATGCCGTGGATAATGGAACTTCCAAACTCGCATTTATCATAGACCATTAGTTCTCTCCCGTTTGATTTATTATGTCACAGAACATTTGTCTTGCAAGGCGATTACAGCTGGTGCCTGTTACAGCCACAAGCATCGTACAGATTGGTGAAATAGTTATGGATGAGGCCATGCAACATTCATTTAAAATGGTTAGACTGCTGTTTTAATTTTGTGCACGTAAAAGTAATTACGAATTATGGCTGTTTTCATTACACTAAGGTAATTACTTTAACGTGACAAAATTGTGCTGGTTACCATCTGCCTCAGGCTCCACCTCTCCCTTTGGCCTCCGAAACAAAAGGTTTGGACATGCAAGACCTGTTACATGATTAAGGCGTGTTTGGGCTCACAGAACATCTGTGACTCTAAAGAATGATTAGATGTGTATAAGGGCAGGCCTGAATCGACCCAGGAACCATTATATTCGGCTGTTGCCCCACGGGCGGATACACGGGTTCCCCCACATCTCGTGAGCAAAACAGCATCAGAAATGGCTTTTAATTTTGTATTAATTAGGTAATCGCAAACACTGACATTATTGTGATTGATAGAGCACCGGCGATTTCTCAGTGCAGCTGGATTCATTTGTAATTAAGTCGCTGGTAGCCTGGTACATGCTCCAGTTATAGAAGGGAGGAATTAGCCTCCCCATGGCGGCTCGGCTCCTCGTTCCTGGATAGTTTATGTGATGGCCCAGTTCAGTGCGAGATCAACTGTGTCTGTCACGGTGGCGGCAAAAGGAGCGTGCCATGTTTTTTAACTTCCTTGGGTGGCCCCGGGGGACCCTTCTGGAATGAGTGATGGGGGAGGCTAGGGGAGGCAACGCATAATCGAAAATCGCTGCCCACTTATCGGTATGTAACTGTAAGTGTGAAGGTAGGTCAGTGCCGGCTTATGAGAGCTGAGACGATGTAGAAGGGGGAAGCTGAGCTCATGTCTAAAATCCCAGCTAGGGCGAGAGAGAGATGGGAGAGTGAGAGAGAGATTACACGTGTAACGTAACCCGCGAATTGGGTTTGCGATTGATTTTGCGTCGCGCGATCGTCTGCTGCCTCGCCGGCCGTCACGTGGCCTTAGCTGACGGCGATGCAAATTCGCCGCGCGCTGTACATTTACATTCATAGAAACGCGACCGGGGGCGGCATCGAGAGAAACGTTACTGTACGCGTATGTGCGAACGCCCCCGGGTGTAGTGTCAGTCAGACACGGTTCTCACGCAAACAAGGTCGCTATTACTGCGACGTTGTAATATTATAACAGGCAGACACCCACGCGCGCACACGGAGTAGGAAGCGGAGTAGGTCTGATTTAACTAGAGAGGGAGCGATAAGCGGTGGATAGGTCACGCCGTGAATGACAGGAACCCGTGTGAAGACTAATGTCTGGAAGATTGGCGGTTGCCTGAACGTGTTATTGATTTGTGTGATTCATCAAATGCAAGTGCCTGCACTCAGGTTGGCCGAGGGTAGAGAGCGAGCGGCAGTACATGTCCGTGTTGTGGCGCGCACGGAAGTATTTAGCGCTCTTCTCTCTCTCTCTTCTTCTTCTCTCTTCTTCTTCTCTCTCTCTCTCTCTCTCTCTCTTTCTCTCTCTCTCTCTCTCTC